AGAAGCACAGCGCAGTTAGAAGAGGAGTCTGAAGTGAACTGTACCCAAGGTCCAGAGGAATAGGCCAGTGGGAACGAGCAGAGAGGGGAAAAAAAGCCCAAGGAAATATTCCACAGCAATATTCCCTCCTGAGATCACGTGTCCATGAAACTTCCAGTCTTGGGGACAGAGGGAATTACATGGAAAGGAAACAAAGCAACCATTACCACATTCATAGAATCACAGAATGGTTTGGGTTGGAAGGGACCTTAAAGATCATCTGTTTCCAACCCCTGCCATGGGCAGGGACACCTTCCACTAGACCAGTTTGCTCTGGGCAACCTGTGCCAGGGCCTCACCACTCTTATTTCTCTCCAATATCCCATCTAACCCTGCCATTCCCCCCTGTCCTGCCACTCCATGTCCTTGTGAATGTCACTGCTCAGGTTTGCACCACACAACATGGAAAGAATCTTTGAGCACCCCCAAGTGCAGAGAGAGCTCGTGTGACTTCAAAGCCAGCGCTTGTGCCAAAACTTGATCCTCCTGAGTGAAACCATTGGTGTCCCACTACCTCATCCTCTTTCCCAATAGCACATGTTGTGCATTAACAAACTTCCCAAGTACTGAGAGCACAGACAGATCTTCAAACCAAACCAAACCCCAGCCCTGCCTTCTCATCTTGGAAGGACGTGGCCAGTCAAGGTGGTGTTGGGAACACTGAGCATTTGGGAGCAGAGCGGTGCTTCCCCCACCTGCTGGCACGCTCCAGGCAGATCCAGCTCCGAGAACTTCACCTCCCCTGCCAGCAGGAAATAAATCTTGTGGTTTTAGAGTTGGAGAGTGAATCCATATTCAGTTAGGAATTTATGGTGACTTTATGGATCCCACAAATGCTTCACTACCACCATTTTCTGGAAACTGTACAATTCCTGCAGTTCATTCACTGTGTTCAATTGCCTTTTTTTTTAAGGGAAGCACTTCTAATTGCTTTTTTACAGATATGGGTTTCTGTAAAGAATAGAACATGCTCTAAGTGTATAAAATGTTTCAACTATATATAGCTTTAATAGCCAGTTTTAATTTCCCCAGAGTATTCATCCCAAAGGGTCAAATCCGTCCCTCCTGTGACTCAACAGATGAACACCAAAGTGTATTTGACACAATAATCATGTTCCTACAATTCAAACAAAATTTTCCCATACAATTCTGACCATCTCACAAGGGTCCTTTCCTCTCAGCTGCAGTGAAATGTAGCACTAAGCACAAATACCTGTGCAGTCTGCTCTGATTTACAGCCATGCAAACAACTGTTACCAGCCCCTGTGTCCCCATGGCTGTTTGTTTGTTGTTGGGTGGGTTTTTTTTGGCTTTAATATCGCATCAGATTGTTTCACTCTTTCCCTGGGAAGCATTTGTACACGTTTCTGCACCACAAACACTGCAAAGCCAGTATCAATTTTCTTCCTCCCTATTAGCCCCTCTGGTACCTTTACATTAACCCAGAATGAATCACTGGCCCCCCAGTCATTTTTTTTGCTACATCCAGCATTTGAGAAATGGTGTAACTCACATTTTGGAGCAGGCCTGGTTCCTGCAGACGGGTGTGATGGCTCACGCTTCCTCTGAGGACTCAGCCCCTCCACACAGCCCCTGGCAGCTCCTTCCCTTTTTCTCCCAGCTCTCTGCATCCAGTGTGCTGCCAAAAAACCTCCACTGCAGCCAGTGCCACGCACACAAGGAATGGTGAGGTGACTCCAGTCCTCCCAGCAGCAAACAGGGGCAGCTTGGTGTCCTTTTTCTATCCAAATTGCTCATCTTTTTCATCAGCCTGCTCTGTCGCCTTGTACAAAGAGAGACACGTGTACCCTGTGATGGGGACAAAACCAGACAAAAGGCTCAGCACACACAAGCTGAGCCAAAGCTTAACAAGCTGTCCATCCATGGCAAGCTCTGGGCAAGCCAATAGCAAAAAAAGAGCCTTTAAATGCCTGCATTAGAGCAGCAAAATGTGAGTTTTGTTTGGATTGTAGCACACTCAAGGCCTCCTTTCCATTGGTGGAAGGAATGTGGGAATGCACAGGATGACCACAGGATTCAGGTGACCTGAGGATTCAGATTCTGCTTGGTCCCATCCTTCCTGGCCAGCAGAAAATAAAAACCCAGCAGTGTCTGCTCTTCTCACCAGGGACCCAGAGCAGACAAAAACCCTTGAGTGAATATTTGCTGTCTTCCTCTGCATCACCACTGCAGAAAGGCCCATGTCATACTTGTTAAATTCAGCATCTCCTCTTGGCCCTAGAAATGTCACCCCCAACCCCCAACACTGTCCCAGGTGACTTTTTCCCTCACTATGGGAATAGTAGCATCAACACAGAGAGCCACTAAACAACCCACAAAGCTGGAGGTTGTCTAATAGGTGTGTGCCCTTGCATACCAGAACACAACTGAAAGGAAATTCAGTCACTATTTCAGGAGCAATGAAAACAGCAAAAAGGAACAAATTCATTTAAACAAAATAACAGGGCCTAGGAGAGAAAATACAATTTTTTCCATCTTCCTGGGGAGAAGTTTTCTTATTTCATAGTCCTTACTCACTCCACTCTCAGAAACGTTGTTATCCCCACTTAACTCGTGAGAAACTGGGGTGTAATAGAAGGAAGTTGTTTTTTTGAAAGGCCATGCAAGGTTTGTATGGCAGAGCAAGAATAAAATATTTACAGCGTTAAACGCCCGAGCCTTTTTTGCTTCAGGCACCGGCGGGCTGAGCCATTGACTTCTACAGCAAATCAGCCCTGACAACTCCAGTAAATCTGTCTCATGACAAGGGTATTAGGATCAGCCCACCACAAAACATGGCATAAATCTGTCCCTTACAATCTGAGGAGAAGGTGTGGATTTGGGTATGAAAACCATTGAAATCTCCCATTAGAGACCCCCAAGCCTCATGAAACACATCTGCTCCTCTCAGGGCCTGCCTTTCAGATCGCTGAGATCCACACAAAACTTCACACATTTGCAAAATACAAGACTGAGATTCAAGAAACGCAGTTTTGGTCCACAGTTTTGGCACGAATCTTGTGTTGCTTTTGGCCAAGCGAGCCCCCTCTCCTGCCAGGTTGGAATTGCTGCTGTCTTGTCTCCTTAGCTCCAAGTTCTTCATGGAGAGGTTCATCCCTACAGGAATACACAGGCACCGGAGCTCAAGCCCTGAACGGGAAGATCTGGGAGTCAGGTCACTTAAAATACAGCTTGAAATGACCTCAGACACATTCTGATATCCCACAGAATTCCAGTGTTAGCTAAGGTTTGGATCAGGGGGTTTTTTGGTGACAATTCTGGCTGGAGTCTCATGGAAAATGCCTGAGGGCTCCCCACGATGAGGAGTCAGCGTGAAGTGAAAAAACATCATCTCTGAGCCCACACTGGTGCCTCAGCCTCTCCAAATCCACCGTGCTGGTGCCTCCCTGAGCCCTCTCACCTGCACAGCACACCCAGAGCCACGGGCAGCACCTTTCCAGGGGGCTCCAAGGAAACAACCCAGCACATTTCACATGAATGTGCTGCTAGGAATGCAAACTGCATAAACAACCTGTGTGAACACTCCACTCACTGCTTGCATTTGTCAACCCAACACAAATCCATTCCAGTGGATTTCCTGTAGCCTTTTATTTACAAGGGGGAAATCTTCCCCCATTCTCTGGGCTGATGAGAGCCTCTGCTTTCCCTTCTAATCTTGAATTCTATACTTCTATAAATTAGCAACCCCGTTTATAGAATACCCCTTTGCCTTATATATCCCAAGTACCCCAGTTTTCCATGGGCACGTGGCAGAGGAAGACACAGAGCACTCAATTAGTGGCATTTCAATGTGCCTTCTGCAACATCCTCCTACACTTGGGATAATCTAATTACACAGGGCAGAAACCTCACACAACCATGTATTTTCCTTAGACCCTGTTGCCACCAGCTACTTTTACTCCTCACTGCAACAGAGTCCCCCTCTTTTTTTATTTCTTCCTCCTTTTTTTTTTTTTTTTTCCACATCGTTAAAAATTTATTATTTAGACTGATGATGACATCATCTGGAAAGGGACCCAGGCTGTGGTCATCAGGGCCTTTTTCTGCATTACAGAGAAGCAGTTTCTCCTCTCTCCCTTGCAGATCATTAATTTTTAAAATAGAGCTTTGCTTTAAATATATACAGCTCATTTTGCTTTCAGCTGATGAGTCAGAGGATCTGTCTTTCAACCAGGTCAGGTGCCCCCTGTGCCATGCTTCCTGCCCAAACCAGCACACACAGACCCCAGTGAAGCTCTGGCTTCAGGGCCCTGCAAGGAACAGGAGGGAGTTTCTGTGTAAAGAAACAAATAATTGTATTTAACAGGCTGCCCAGCTTTGCTCTGCCATTCATCCTGGCCTGGAGAACACAAACCTGGCCCTGCAGGTGCTCCTCAGAGATGGGATCTCATCGGCTCTCCTGCAGATGTTTTGTTTAAGGGAAGACTCTCAAACACGGCTCTTCCACAAGGGATGTGAGCAGGTTTCAGGCCAGTATGGGTGCATTTCACCACACCACACTGAACTTTTGTGGGGACTCTTCCTGTCCCTGCCACTGCCCTTTTCATCACTGTGATCTCCTTTCCCCAGCAGGCACCGAGTGATGTCTCTGCATTATCTGCAGGATGACACCAGGGGCTGACACAGTGAATGTTAATTGTGGGATGTGCTGCTGGCATCCTAAACCACATCCCTTCCAAGCAGATGGATCAGGCAGGTGTGCACGGAGCACCTCTGCTCTGCAGGTTGGCTGAGAGCAGCACCAGCCCCTGAGGCAGCACACGGAACCCTCCAGGAGATGATGCCATAATCTGACATGGGCACCTCTAGGATGGAGCAGGTGGAGCCTGGAAATGGAGAAGCTGCAGAAAGAGGTTGGACTTGATCTTGAATTATTTTTTTTCAACTTAAATGATTCTGTGATTCTGTGAGCTGTATGTCTGTCCTTGTTTTCAGGGAAACACCTCTGCCCCTGCAGAGCCCATCATCCAGATCTTGGCCTGATGGAAGCAGGAGCTCTGGGTAGCACAGCTGCATTTATCCACCTAAACTTTAATTCAGCCCTAAATCTACAGGTACTGCTTGTTCCTTGTATTACCTGGGGGGAATCCACAATTTTTCTCAACTGCAGCTATTTCTTTGCCTTTTATACACAGAAATCCCTGCAAGCATTTCTCTATTTAAGGCAGTATTTTCCTGCTCCTCCAGATAAAACAGATTTTATCACCCCCGTGTGCATCCAGGTATTTACAGGAGCACAGGGAATCAGAATGGATGCACAGCCACCTTGAAAACACTTTAACAAGACATAGCAGTTGAGGAGGAAGGGACGAGATGTTTCTTATCTGAATGAGGATGCAGGACACACTTAAGACACCTGGGTGTAAACATCACTTACATTTAGATACCTACCTTAGCCTTCATTGTCAGACTCCTGAACACTCAGTGATCAGAAAAAAAACAGCTTCCAGGAGGGAAAGTAAGAAAAGAAGCTTAATTTAGATGCACTCTCCCTTCATTGACTCAGTGGAGAAAGAAAGTGATGGAGAGAGCCTCCTAAATAAGGTGTTATAAATAGCTGCCATCATCACACAGGAGAGACTCACTTTAGTATGTGTCTGACCAGGGCAAGCTTTGCCCTTCCAGCACAGTGAAAGCAGCCACAAGCTCTTTAATGACTGCAAGTGGCTTCAGCTTTGGTTTTAGGTTTACTCCAAACACAACACCAGTCCTCAAACCGTGCTGGTGCATGGGTTCAGGACAGGTCCATGCAGAACAGTGCTCCCCATTCAATCGTGTCCAGCTATTACCTTCTTTAATGCCTTGTTTTTCACTGAACTTTCCACATAGAACAGGCATTGGGAGCACTCAGAAGCTCCTGAAGCCCCAGCATGAAATGCATGGGTTCAGGTTTAAGGAGGAGGATTTGATAGTCCTTTATTACGTTATTGTATTATTTTCCATAACTCTCCAGTAGACAAGGAAGGCTGTCAGAGCACATATATAGAAACCAGTGTCACACTTCTCTTCTGAGAAGCAAATGAAAAGGTCAGAAGTATGAACTGGCTGTTACACCAACATGTGTTGTAATATTTTCTTGGCCTCAGTGATCGAGTAACACAGTTCAACAAACCCTGTCAGAACAATCCACAATGCATTGCTCGCTCTCCAAACCCTGCTTTCCCCTCCAGCATCTCCACCTGACTGCTTGCAGGTCCTCAGCTCCCTCCCCACCCTCTGATCTTACAGGGATGAGCTACACAGCATGCAATAACCCTTCCTTTTGGGCTGAAACAAAACAAAACAGATGGGAGATGGAGATGAAACAAAGAACAAAAGCGCAGCACAGCAGTGAAATGTGTTACACTGCACTTAAAAACTACAAGAAGTATTCTCCAAACACAGTTTCTCCAGGGAAGAGCAAGGGCAGTGAAGGGAGGGTAAAATGCCATATGGAAAGGAGCAGGCTCTATCAGGGTGCAGGTAGGCTATGCTATGGATATTTTTAAGGAAAAGAAAATAAAATCTCTAAATCAAACAATAGCAGTGCGCCCCTTTCAAAACCTCCTGGCTCTGATTCTCCTATCGACTCTTCAAACTCTGAGACCCTCTTTCCTGCACACAGGGCCTCTGCCCTTCCTGGGACCTGCTGTTCAAACCTTCTCAGCCCCACTCTGCAGGAACCCTCCCATTATCTGCCACGAGCCTGTGAATGGGGTCCTAATTGTGCTGCTGGAGGAGAAAGGAAGGTTTTATATGCAGCAAAAAGAAGTTAAAATGAATTAGATTATGGTCATATTAATTCAGGGCACCCACCCAATCCTTTCATTAGCTTGATTCTCCTGCTGCTGTAGCAATCTATAAATGTTACAAGCTTTAAATGCTCTATGTACTTTAAGCTTTATAGGAGACTACTACTATTAACAGTTCCACAAGTTGGGAGGAAAGGGAGATGCTGTTCAGGGTTATATACGAGCCTGTCAAGGCCATGAATGTGGAATCTTATGCTAAACGTTCCCAGAACTTGGGATGAGGCTTCCAGATACTTCATCTCAAACAGCTCCCAAGGTGACATCTAAGGCAACATTCCCAAGGCTGCTCAGGTCCCCCCAGCAGTGTGTGACACTTTCCACCTTTCTGGCCATTCCTCACCTGGAATGAAGACGTCACATGAGTGTGACCACGTCCCAAACACCCAGCAACTCAGCCAAACTCTTTCCCTTGCAGCCCAGACAACCACAACCATGTGGTTTTCAGGAGAGCTCCCTGAACTTCTGAACTCTACTTTTTTTTCTCTTAGGTGGGGAATTAGGTGGACTTAGTCACACAGAGTTTCAGTCAGGGGTTTTTGAGGAGAGGAGCTGGCAGTGATAACACCCCGTGTGGATGTGTGGGGAGGCATTTTTTCCTCTTAGTCCTTAATACCATGTTCAGCATCTCCATGAGATATAAAACAGGGATGAGGGCAGCAGCCTTCCCATGGAGATGAAATCACTTCTTCCTAATCACAATTGGAGCCTCAGCAGCAGGAGACCATCGGGTCACCACCAAATACCTTTTCCAGTCATACATTTCTAGATATCTCTAATAATGGGATATCTCAGTTTACTGGAGCTGGGCTTTTGTCTCTGTTTGTCTCAGAACAGACTTATGGAAAAACAACTTCTTCACAGGCAGCACCAAGAATTTAGGGGAACTTTATCTCAGCTGCTGACCAACCATAAATTCCATATTTACACCTATAACCAGATGGGTAAACAAGTACAGTCATTTAAATAGTCAAAATCTCCATTAAGTTAGTTACAGTTTTCTGTAACTTAAGATGAGATGGAAGCACATCAACATCAACTCTCAGCACGTTTTCCAGGAACACAACTGGGCTGCTTTTTGTTACCTTTCATAAACAAATCAGGACAAAAATTAATCAGCAGGAGTTTCTCTCCCATTTTATAAATGAAGAGCATTTCTCCAAGCCATTTTTTTCTATCATTACCAGTGGCTGCATTATAATCAGATACCCATTCTCAGCCTTCCACCTCAACATGAGAAAGTCTCAAAACACCCGTTTCAGAGTAGGGTACGTTTTGTAACCAAAACACACAACTACAAGAGGGGAAAAAAAACCAGAAGCACTTGCTCACAGTAATAACTATTTTCCTTTCCTCTTAAAGCAACACAATGAAGCAATTACTGTACTCTGGGCTTCCAAGGGCTTCTGCAGCCAAAGCAATTGGCTGGGAGGCTCGGAGGGGGCTGGAGCTGTGGCACAAGGAAAAGAAACAACTCCTACCAGATATGATTCACTGACAACAAAAACATCCCCATGGTACCTCTTGCTTTTCATGGGATGAGGACAGGTTTTCCACCAGCGGGGTTTTTCAGATTAGAGGAATTTTTCTGTAATGGGAGTGATGACATAGGTGTCGGTATGAAAATAGGAAGGACCTCAAAGGTTACAGCTAAGCTGGGAGTCTCCTGGTACCTGAACCGTCACAGATCCTCAGAAAACTCCTTGTGGTCCCAGGAGGACGCCCTGCATGGGAAACCCTTTAATTTACTGGAGAAAGGAGAATACGTTCATGGGTAATTATCTCTCTGGAATTACGGAGAACGTAACGGAGAATATATGAATAAACATAGAGCAGTCCTTGTTAGGAGTCTATTGCTGGACACTCACAGGGAACCAACCCATTAGACCAAGGAACATCATATAAATTAGAAATAGATTAAAGAACATCATGTAAATGTATCCTGTCTCCAGGCAACAAATTATGTGACTCATCAGACCCACTTTATATGTATATATTCTAAAACATGTCTTCAGTTCCGATGGCCTTTGGCACACAGTTTTGCTATGAGTGTGCCTCTAAATCTGTATTTGTTTTAAAAGTATTAAAAAGGCAGAATTGGCAGCAACTTCTCCATTTAGCTTGCTTGGCACTTTCTTTTAGAAAAGGTTCATTAAGTCTTTTTTTGGAAACTTCGAAAAATTATGAGACAACCACTATAAAATTAAATTGAAGGACAGGCAGGTGGGAGAGGAATACTATTACCATTTTTCTCCATGTCAGCAGGCACTAATAGTTCAGTGTTTTATATTAAAACACATGAGCTTTTGTAATTGTCTCCCAGAGATGAAAGCCTGATGAGACAGAGCTGAGGCTGGGGGTGTTTGAGGTTTCTGCCTGTCATCCTGTGGAAGTTTTCATAATATCCAGGTTGTTGTATCTCAGTGGGGAGTCTGATGCAGCAACACTGGATGCAGTTAAAGGTTGTGTTGGTCTGACAAATGATTCAATTCTTGTATAATACATTTGAAGCAGGATTTTGACATGAGGTTACGTGTTTTTGTGACTTTGACTCGCACACGGTGCTCCCAGCTCACGGTGAGTTCAGTCAGAGATGTGAGTGCTTGCTGTGTCTTGGAGCCAGACTTTTTTAAAACATCACTCAGTGGGTGCTGTTCTTATGAACAACAGCAGATCGTTTCTTCTGCCCCCTAGTCATGCCAACACAATAAATGGAATGGTCATTTTATACCCAAAATGTGCTTTGGAGAAGTAAACAAATAAAAGCATGAAACTAAGATACAAAAAATTAATATTAATATTGGGGGTTTTTTTACAGACAACAGAACTATGTCAAAAAACATAAACACTAACTTAACTGACCTTTCTAATAATTTAATTAATTAGATTATTATATATATATAATATTATATAAAAATATATATAATTAACTAATTTAATTAATTAATTAATATGTTTTAATTAGGTAATGGAAAAGAATATTCCCTGTGAAGGAGGGGAGACCCTGGATGTTTCTATGAATCTGCCATGGAAGAAAGGTCTATTAACCCCAAATTTCTAGTACTGGATAAAATCAAACCTAGACAGAACAATTCATTAAAGAGAAACTCATGGCATTGGCAGGAATAGTACATAAATGCATAAAACTGCTGCAATAACATCGCTTATAAAGAGTGTTATCTTATAAAAATACAAGGAAATAGAAGAAATTACAACAGCATACAAAAGTTAAAGCTAAAAAATGCTACTGCACGCCAACATTTTCTATCCCATCTGACATGCTCACAAATTTTGTACACTGAGGAGTAGGAAAGCAGAGAAAATAGGAAAATATTTTCTTACATTTTTTCTTTCCTCCAGATCTCACCATTTTGATGGTATTTAGAAGAATGAGCAATTTCTATCACCTCAGCTCATCAGCTAAACAACAGTCAGTGTAGCCTAAACTTGACATTTTTCATCTGTGGATGTTTCCCCCTCCTAAAATAGATGTGAAGGACCTGAAAGGTTCTCATGCAAACGGCTATGCCTTTCTTTTATACAGTTAATTTTGAAAATGGGACCTCAACTAAGCAGCAAGAATCCCACCTGTGTCACCAACACATCACCTGCTAATGCCAGACTGAAGTGGAGCAATACACAGCACTGTCTTAAAAGATCTGCTGATTCATTAATGCTCATGCTTTCCCTTCAATAGCAAATATCTCCTTTTGTCTCAAATAAACACATGGAAATAAAGCCACCCTTAATGTCAATAAATTACGTTTTGTGTACTTCATCCTCATACCAATGGGAAAGATGTTGTGAGAAGAGTAGTTTGAGAATGGTCAAAGAGAATTGCAATTAATCTGCCAGAAAGAGTTATGGTAAATATTATTATTATGATTATTAATGATTTGTAAAGCACTGTAAATCTCCATGACAGTAATTATGATGTTTTGTATATATAAATTTGGCATTCTGCATATACAAGCACTTGGGCTTGAACTCTTCCTAGATCATTAGGAAATCAGAGGTCATCTCATCGGTCACTTGAAAAGTAATTTCCTGCAGATTTTCAGGCCATTCTCAGATTTATCCTCACTGTAAAAAGGTAGCAATGGTTTCTCCCCAGGCAGAGGAGTTCACACAGAGGCTGCAATTCTGCCTTTTCAGTGCAGCCACCCAGCCCTGCACAGGACACAGGGCTCTGGATCCCCTCTGGGCCAGCCAGAAGGGAAAACAGGCTGGGTATGGCCTGCCAGGGATGAGGAGGCACCAGGCTGAGGTTCATCTTGGTAGAGTTTCCCAAAATAAACTGAATCTGTGGAAAGCATTCATTTCCAGGGCCCTGCTCTGGGCTGTGTCACTCGATGCACAGAGAGGAGCGGTGGCATTGCAGCGATCTGCTGTTCTCAGGCCAATCCTCCAAGTGAGAAAATCCTCCAAAAGAGGATTCTGCTGCCCCCCAGCTCCATTTCTCAAGGTATGGAGCCAGAACTCTGGAAATCTGTGATTTCAGGTCAGGGATTCCCATAAAGCATCACTTGCTGTTCAAAGGGGTTGCCCAGAGCAGCTGTGGCTGTCCCTGGATCCCTGGCAGTGCCCAAGGCCAGGCTGGATGGGCTGGGAGCAGCTGGGATGGTGGGAGGTGTCCCTGCCATGGCAGGGGTGGGATGGTGACCCGGTTTTGGGAGACAGGTGTCTGCTAGGGAGGGCAGGAGCCTCCCTTGGAATGAAAAATGTAGATCTCCCTCCCTCCTAATTATTATAATTCTGAAACCAAGGGGCTCTCAGGAAGAGATCTGGGGATAGGAATAACAGTTCTTTACAAGGCAAACAAACATCAATAACTACAGCGTTAGCAAGAAAACAGAACCAGGGACCCCGTGACAGCTTTCTGGGCTGGGACTGGAAGGGATGGAGGAGAGGATTTGTTTCACAAACCTCCTCGGGCAGTCAGTCCCGGTGCTCCTGCAGGGCTCTGAGGAACACAGCTGGAACAGCAGGGATGAGCTGAGATCCTGGGCCGGTGGATGAGGTGGAACAGCAGGGATGAGCTGAGATCCTGGGGCAGTGGATGAGGTGGAACAGCAGGGATGAGCTGAGATCCTGGGGCAGTGGATGAGGTGGAACAGCAGGGATGAGCTGAGATCCTGGGCCGGTGGATGAGGTGGATCAGCAGCTCCTGGCACTGCCACACGTCCCGGCAGGACAGGGGGTGCGAGGCCACCAACAAAGAGAGAAGAAGAAGAAGAAGCAGCAGCTCCGTCTGGGTGATGGCGAATTCCCTTCTCTCTACCGCAACAGCTCCGCGCCCCAAAATGCCCTTCTCCCAAACCGAAAGGAACCCACCTTGTCCCCACCCTCCCTTTTCCTGCCCCTTCCCCCCCTGGGCCCGGCAGAACTCTTTGTGTTTCTCAAGCACCCACCAAGTACCCGCAGTCAGGTTTTCCCCGCAGTTAATGGGCAAAAATTCCACAGGTGAGGCAGAACTAAAAGGAGGACACCTAACCCCCAAGAGATGGGACGAGCTTTAAGATCCCTTCAACTCAAACCATTCTGGGATTCTATGGAAGAGGCAGCTTCCTCTCTCCTCCTGCAGGGAGTCAATAACCTTTCTGCTGGCAGGGCTTCAGCTGAGTTTGGTGCTCTGCCCTCTTTTTCAGTAGATTCCTCCTCTGGCGATAAGTAAAAAGGACATTACAAGTCAATTCCATTGCAGATTAAACCCAATCACCCTCAGCTCAGCTAAATCAGCAGTTTCTGCAGTCTAAATGCCAGCCAGAAATAATTCCCCTATTCCATCTCTTCCACCAGAACATCCTCCCTTTCATCCCAGCCAGAAGCGCTGCTCCCTGCACTCCTGGGAGCAGCCATGGGATGTGCAGAGGGATGCAGAGTTTGCAAACACTCCACAAAAACACAGCTTCTATCAAGGAATGTTCACTTGGAGGTTCAACCCCTGGCAGAGACCTAGAAACCAAACAATAATTCCGATGCTGTATCTCACTATACAATGACAGAGAGTGCCCGAGCAAGCTGGGATCTGACATGACATTATTTGTCTATCAAAAAAAAATAATAAAAATACAATAAAATCAAAACCACTGGGAGCGCTTTACCCACTCCGTTATGAGCGAGTTCAATAGCTCTGTGATTCCAAGCTCTGGAGTGATGGCTTTATGAGGACATCAAAAGCACTGAGCCTGACCAAGCCTCCTGGATACACGCACGCTTCTCCTACGAGGAGCCACAGGCAGTGTCCACTGGGAGCTTCCCAAAAGAGAACCCTTCCTGAATTATGAGGGCCCACACACACACACACACACACTCAACTTCACAGCCCATTGCTTTCCCAGGAGCGGAGTCTGTGCTGTCTGCACCAAGGCAATATATCTCTTTATGGCCTGCCAGTGACTTTACAGAGAGATAAACAAAGCTTTTAAATCAAAAGGAGACGGAGCAGAAGAAAAAGTTTGGCACCCCAGGACATAACGCCGCTGTTTGTGCTTTAACCCTTCATGAAAATACAGGGAAGCAGGGAGTTTCTTATGCAGGATCTGCCAAGGGAATGACCGCAGGGGAAATGGGAAACCCAAGGGTGGAAATTCAAGGAATTCTCCTAAATGTTAACAATTCTGTTAATATCTGCGTTCAGTGACTCATTTAAAATACTCTGAGAAATGGATATGGCACCAAACTGAGCTGCAGGATGTGGCAGTGGTTTGAGCTGTAGGATAAATGGCCTTAAAGCAGAACAACTGGAATTTTCTATTAACCAAGGGCATGTAATTAATTTGCTTACCTGTATTGACTGTAAATCTGGGGGGCCAAGGAGGACCATCAGCTTCATGTGCACAGCATCAAGAACGAGACTGCCATCCAGGTAAAGCCTGTGGGGGTTCTGTGAAGTAAATAAAAGCAATATAATTCCAAATCACCACATACTGTCCTGATCTGCTTTTCAGCTGTGGAGTCTTTTGGATGGGCAGTGTCACATAGATCCTCCAGTAGTTCCATCAGTGACTGGGATTAATCATTTCAGAATTGAATGGAAAGTTGAAATTTTTAAAGGAATAGAAATCCAGAGCTACTACAAGGAAAGAATCAGGAGGACCCAAGGTATTCTAGTGGCTCATTTCTTTAAAACCTTCATCATTTCCCTGCCACACAACCTGTTTCATAGATCTGGGCCATAATGTGTACACTTGGTGCTTGGAGAAGATAGAAAACATTAAAAAAGCATCTCTCCCTCTTGATCCCTAGTATCTGAAAATTTCTTCACCATTTCACTGAAAAGTGAATGTGCTTGAGGTTTCCCACCTAGAACTTGTGTCTGGAAAGACAAAAAAATTGTCCTTTGTATTCCAAGAGAAGCTAGTCCAAATATTGCTCAGCAGCTTCTGCTGTACAACAGCGAAAAGAAAGTTTGTGTGGACAGATTTCACAGGACCAGCTCATTCAACTTCAGGAAAAACCAAGAAAAGGAGGGTGAGAGTTTGTCACTCATATAATCCAGGCTCTGATTTTTTGTCCCAACTAGATCATGCCAGATGCTTTGAGAAGTGTGCACAAAGTGTTTGAAAAGCCACCAACTTGTGCATGAAAAATGTTATTTATGCTGTTATTTCTTCACCTTCAGCCCCTGTTAGCAGGCAGAAAGCTTTCAATGTACAAGAGAATATTTTTGTATGAAAGCAGGGGCTTTCACTAAAATTCTAACCCATGTGAGCTTATCCTACATCCATCTTCCCAAAGCCCAGCCTGGGCCATGCTGCTGCATTAAAAGTCTTTTTTCAGACCAGGCTCCTGCATAAGATGATTTGCAAAATTCAGAGCTAGAATGGGAATGAGGCTGCAAATCCTTCCCCGCCTGTCCGGGGTGCTCAGAGCATTCCCTCACTCCAGCTGAACCCCACCAGCTTCAGTGGGGACAGATCCTGATTCTGCCTAGGTTAAAGTCCAAGACCAGAAGCTTAAACTCAGACCAAAGTAAAACAGACTTTCCCTTCTGGTCCTGACCACAAATCTCTCCAGAACAATCCCATCACCTCAGCACAAAAAGCTGTTTTTCTGTATTTCTATCTGTTTCTACAAGTCTTTTCATCCCAAACTTGAAATTCATGAAAGAAATTCCATATTCTTTTGAAGTTTTTTTTCTTTTAAAATTATTATTTGTAGAATTTTGGGGTGGTTTCTTTCTATGTGATCGCAGCTGAACTTCCTACTGGCCCAGGGGGACTAGAGAGCAATAACTTTAAATGCTTATAGATGCAGCCATGGCCCCAAGCCAGCACTAATTTCCAAACTTGTTATGCTGAAGAAAGAGGGTGAAGGGAAAAAAAAGGGAAAAAAAAAAAATGAAAAAAGGCAAAGAGTAAGAATGCAAACCAGAAATATCCCATAATGTTAGTGAGAATTGGAAAGTCCTGTTGGTGGTTTCAGTAACAGGTTTAAGTTACTACTAAAAAAGGAAAAAAAGAAATAAAAAAAAAGCAGAAGAATTTGGACCATTTAAAATGAAAGTGAATATTTTTCCTCAGACACAGAACATCCTTGTGACATTCAGGCCTTTGCGTACTGCCAGCAGGATGGAATTTTACTGACCAAATACAGCATCATCACTGCATGAGTACAACAAACATTTGTGAAAACATATTAAACATATCATAAATTAACTGGATTTGGGAGCTGTAAACACTCACTTGAACTTACAGCTCTTTGATTTCACCAGCAT